GTGGCGTCGATAGGAGTGAGGCGCGAGTGCAGCAGTCGACAGCCACAGCAGGCAGCTCGCGTGCCGACGTCGATGGACGACGTCGCTCTCCTCCACGAAGTAGTGGAGGGCTCTCGGCAACGACGCACGCGACGGCACGCGGGATCGCACCGGCGTATGGTCACTTCAAGTTCGCGCCGGACAAAATCACCGTCACACCACTACAAGGTTGACAGGACCTCATCACCTGGAGAGAGGCGATGGAACCTCAACTGGAGGTTGCCGGGCTGAAGGGCCTTGTCGATGGCTCCGTGCCAATTTCGCCCGAGGACGAGGTCGAGCTGCGCGGGGAGTTTCTTGTTGTTCATCTACTTACCTTCATGATCATCTCAAGGTGTTGCTCGCCAGTGGTGCAGATAGTACTCAGTGTCAGAATCCGAGCCAATAACCACTGGGATAAAATGGCTTGTTTGTCTAGCAGGTGAGTGCGCCGATAACCCCCCAGACCAACGTATCTATAACCCTTCCCTAGGATCAATCAGGGATCTCCAGTGGACCTCTGACACTCAGGTTGTGTCGAGAGCGACTGGATGCTGGTCACCAAGCATGGCGATTCATCCTGTCGACGTACCAGGCGACGGACGACCTATACATCGGACTGCTGGAGGAGCAGATGACACACCTTCGAATGGGTGAGCAGGAGTCGGCGACGGGCTACTGCAACCGTGCTCGACGGATCCTGGCTGAGATGCGGATGGCGGGCGCCGAACACTCGACGGCGTCCTATATCACCCACATCATCAAGGGCCAGCTGCGCAACTACAACCTCATGAAGAGGATGATGATGGTGCCCGGCACGCGTGAGTCCCTCGACGAGGACGCCCTCACCAGCTACGTCATCAAAGACGAGGCTCTGCAGGAGGCAGAATAGTTGAGAGAGCTCCTTCCGCAAGCGAGCTATGCTGCCCTGACGAAGCTGAATTGACAGCAGGGCTAGTGCGGGAAGCAAGGCGGAGGTGGTAGCGGAGGGGGGCGGTTGACGAAGGACGTCGACCAGGCAAAGTCGACGCGTGACAAGGGTTGTGGAGGTGGTGGTCGACGGTGGGAGTGCTGGATCTGCCACAACCCCGACCATCTCTCCTACGAGTGCCTCGATTGGACGACAGCGACGAGGATGACAACAAGATAGGCTGCGGGCGGGCAACCAGTCGTCGACCCCGTCGAGACGAGAATTTGTGCAAGGAGAAGCAGACGTCGAAGAAGACGTCGTCGACGAAGGACGTCGACTCTTCCAGCGGCAAAGGCCGAAGCGAGGGGGAGGCGTTGTGCTCGATAGTCGGCGTGGTGGAGCCAACGGTCTCGCTTGTGCCAGAGGCTGGTGAAAACTTCTAGGTAGTGGCGGCAGCCGTGAAGGCTAACCCGATGGCGGTGCTGCTCGACAGCGGTTGCTCACACCACCTGATGGGGACGAAGGCGGTCTTCGTCAAGGCAGTGTGAAGCATGTGCGTGGATTCAATGGGGCGCTGCAGCCTGTCAAGGGTCGCGGAACCGTCGCTCTGCAAGGGGAGGCCGGGAAGCGGGTCCTCATCCTAGACACGCTCTACGTTTCGGGAGTACAGGCGAACTTGCTGTCAGCTAGCCAGCTAAAGGAGAGCTGGGTTCAGGTGCACGACGACGGCGACGAGATGTTGCTCGTCGCCGCGACTGGTGAAGTGCTCGGTCGAGCACACTACACCGGCCGAGTCCTCTGCACCGACCTTCGCCCGTGCTCGACAAAGTTGTCGTCGACGCGACTGAAGTGGTGGCTCTCTGGACGATTGCTTATGCGACGAAGTCGACCCCCGACCGGTGGCACGCAAGGCTCTCGCACGTCGGCGTCAACACGATTAAGAGTTCGGCGAAGCATGAAGTCGCGACCGGCCTCGACATCAAGTCGTCGACCGGAGCTGATCTACCGTGTGTCTCGTGCGTCAGAGGGAAGCTGGCGCGGCACACCTTCCCCGACAAGGGCTCAAATGCTGAGGAAGCGTTGGCCGTCGTGCACATTGACTTCTGCAGGCCATTCTGGGTGGCTGCCAAGGATGGCAGCATGTACTTCCTGCTGCTGGAGGATCGTCACACTCGGTTCGTGCGGGTGGTGCCGGTCGCTAAGAAGAGCGATGTGTTGCGGGATTTTGAGAAGTGGCTAGTGCTGGTGGAACGACAGACGAAGAAGTCGGTGCTGATGCTCCGCTCAGACCGGGGAGGGGAGTTCCTCGGGACGGAGTTCACCAACTTCGTCGACGGGAAGGGCATCGCCCACGACCTGACGTGCTCTTACACTCAGCAGCAGAACGGCATGGCTGAGTGGGAGATGCGCACGTTCGTCGAGTCTGTGCGGACGATGCTGCTGCACATGGGCGTGCAGCACCACTTGTGGCACCTTGCCCTAGTACAGGCCGTCTGGGTGCTCAACTGCTTGGAGCGGTCGACGACGCCGCCGAGGACGACGCCGCACCAGCTGCTGACTGGGAAGAAGCCAGACCTCACGCTGGCGCGAGTGTGGGGCTGCATGGTGCAGTTCATGGTTCCCGAGCAACAGCGTGGTGGGAAGCTGGCGCCGAAGGCTCGTTGGGGGCTTCACCTGGGCGTGTCGCTGGAGAGCAAGGGCTGGGAAGTGCTGGACTTGACCGACAAGGTAGTTACGTCGGGCGAGGTGATCTTCTACGATACGCTGTCGCTGGAGGTGTGGAAGGCGAAGTATGGGCCGTTGTCGGGGCGGACGCAGGCGCACCCGCCGACGGACACCTCGACGGCGATGTTCCCACTGCTCGCCGAGGTCGACAAGCCTGCTGATGAGGACGTCGAGGAAGTCCTCCCTTGTTCTTGCTCCTCCCCACCCCGTCGCAGATCGGCCTGCATCGACACCAGTGTCGGCCGCCGGCGATTAGGGGAGCCTTGAGGCGTCGCCTGTGGCACCGGCCAGTGGCATCGCCAGCGGCCGGCAAAGCGCCAAGCTCGTCGACAAGGATGTGAAGTCGTCGACGACAAAGGAGCAGTCGACAGGGGAGCCGGTCAAACAAGAGGCAGCAGCAGGGGTGCAGTCGACAGGGGAGCAGCTGACGGGATAGTCGATAGTCAACGAAAGCGAGGTCGACAAGAGGGCCGATGAGAGGGGAGCAGTTGGTCAAAGGTCCAACGCTAGCAAAGCAGCTCGTCAACGATGAGGGTGTCGACGACGAAGGGGGGCTATTGGAAGGAGAGGAGTCCAGCGACAGAGACGTGGTGGAAGTGCCAATCGAGACGCCTGAGCTGCAAATCTCAGGACCAGAGCTGCGATGCTCAGGTCGAACTCGGAGGCCACCAAAGTGGCTGAGCTACCACGCCTGCTTGCCACCGGCTGCCTTCACCACGGCGTATGACAACGTCCATGATGACTTGCTATATGACGATGCCGAGGATGGCGTCGAACTGCTGGAGCTAGACCCCGACGTGCATGACGACCCCAAACATCGCTGGGACATCGCAACGATGACGGTGAAGGAGGCGCTGGCGAGCAAGAACAGCAAGGTGGTGAGGACCGCCATGGACGAGGAGATCCGTAGCCTTATCAGCAATGGCATGTGGGAGTTGGTAGAACGCCCGCGCAGGGTAAACATCATGAAGAACAAGTGGGTGCTGACGACCAAGTACCGCATCGATGACACCGTCGAGCGCGAGAAGACGAGGCTGGTTGTGAAGGGCTTCACGCAGGTGTATGGCGCCGAATACGACAAGACGTACTGGCGGTAAGCAGCTACGTCACCCTGAGGATCTTCTTCAGCATCGTCGCTGTCCTCGACCTCAACCTGATGTAGCTCGACATGAAGAAGACCTTCCTGCACACTAAGCTCGACCGGGTGCTGTACATGTACCAGCCGGACTACTTCGACGATGGGATTGGCCAGGTGTGCAAGCTGCTAAAGAGCCTTTACGGGCTGAAGCAGTTGCCGCTGCTATGGTACAGGGCTCTCGATGGTGTGTTGTTGGGGGCTGGCTGGAAGAAGAGCCAGGTTGACGGGGCGCTCTACTTCAAGGTCGACGACGACAGAGTGACCTGCTGGGTGGTGATCTACGTCGACGACCTGCTCGCCGCCAGCAGCAGCACCGCGATGTTGAAGGAGCTGAAGGCGACGGGAGGGGCGACCTGGGGGGGCGCGCGTCGCCCCTTCTTCCGCCTGCTCTGGCGCCCTGGGAGGCCGCGCGTCGGCCCCCCGTACTCCCCCCCCCCCCCCCCCCCCCCCCCTCAGGTCGCCTCAACAGGCGACGGGAGGGGCGACCTGGAGGGGGGGGGCGCGCGTCGGAGCAGCTGCCCCTGGTGCAGCCGCCCCTGGAGCAGCCGCCCCTGGACCCGGAGCAGCCGCCCCTGGAGCAGCCGCCCCTGGTTCAGCCGCCCCTGGAGCAGCCCCCCCTGGACCCGGAGCAGCAGCCCCTGGCCCCTGGAGCAGCCGCCCCTGGTGCAGCCGCCCCTGGTGCAGCCGCCCCTGGAGCAGCCGCCCCTGGTGCAGCAGCCCCTGGTGCAGCCGCCCCTGGAGCAGCCGCCCCTGGTGCAGCCGCCCCTGGAGCAGCCGCCTCTGGTGCAGCCGCTCCTGGACCTCAGCAGCCGCCCCTGGCCCCTGGAGCAGCCGCCCCTGGACCCCGCGCCGCCGCCCCTGGACCCGGTGCCGCCGCCTCCCTGTGCTGCCCTGTGCGCCCCGCGCGCCCTGCAGCCCTGTGCGCCCCGCGCGCCCTGCTGCGGGTACAGCAGTGGGGGGGAGGGGATTTGCCATCCCCCTGCTGCGGTTGCGGCAGTGGGGGGAGGGGACCTGCAGCACCAACCCCCCCCCCCCCCCTCTCCGCCCTTTTCTCCTCTCCCCCCCCCTGCTGCGGGTGCAGCAGTGGGGGGAGGGGATCTGCCATCCCCCTGGTGCGGATGCGGCAGTGGGGGGAGGGGACCTGCAGCACCAGCCCCCCCCCCTCCTCTCCACCCTTTTCTCCTCTCCCTCCCCCTGCTGCGGGTGCAGCAGTGGGGGGGAGGGGATCTGCCATCCCCCTGGTGCGGATGCGGCAGTGGGGGGAGGGGACCAGCAGCACCTGCCTGCCCCCCCCGCCCCCCCCCCCCCCCATCTCTCTGCTGCGGGTGCAGCAGTGGGGGAGGGTATGGGGGTGGCGGGTGTGGCCAACCCGCCAGCCCTGCTGCGCCCCGCGCACCCTGCTGCCCTGTGCGCCCCGTGCGCCCTGCTGCCCTGCTGCCCTGTGCGCCCCGCGCGCCCTGCAGCCCTGTGCGCCCCGCGCGCCCTGCTGCCCTGCTGCCCTGTGCGCCCCGTGCGCCCTGCTGCCCTCTGCACGCACCATGCACAGCACCCCCCCCCCCCCCCCCCCCCATCACCTGCTGCAAGTGCAGCAGTGGGGGAGGGTATGGGGGTGGCGGGTTTGTGACACCCCCTGCTCCTCCTCCTACTCCGTCTCCCACTGCTGCAGCTGTGGTTGAGGGGGGTGGGTGTGTGTGAGTCGACGGAGTGGTGCTAGGGGGTGGGGTGTGAGTGAACCTAGGGGTGCAGCAGGGGATGTGTGAATGGGGGGTGCGGCAGTAGAGGGAGGTTGGGTGGAGGTAGCCGTCGTGTTGCTAGCAGTGCCAGTAGTCCGGAGGTGCGCTTCCGGTAGCCCAGTGATGCCGCTGCGCCAGTCGCCCGTGGGTCCGTTGCTCCTGCCGCTCGTCTTAGCCGCGGAGCCAGTTACTCCTGTAGTCCGGAGGTGCGCCTCTGGTAGCCACAGTGCGCGCCGCTCCTGTTGCCCGTGTGTCTGCAGCTTCCGCCGTTGCCTCCTCTCTCCTCTCCTATTAGTCCAGCCTCCTCCTCACTTGCCCTCTGTGATAGCCTCTAGTTTTGCTTATTTATTGTGAACTTTAAACTGTTACTTCTTGTACTTGTGCTCAAAATGTGTGGTGACATTGTGATCCACCCTGAGCTTGCTTTGCTTTGCTTGTTGTGCTGATCATACCCCACTTTGACTATGGGGGTGTGTCAGAATATTATGTTTCTCTAATCTGCAGTGGGGTACTCTGTAGTGAGTACAACCCTGTTAGGGTTTTCTATATGTATCCCAATGCTTTCTAGTGCAATCATCCTCACTCTTTTCATTCTCGATTCTCACAGAAGGAGCTGCTAGAGGCTGCCTTCGTGCTGTGTGAGATCTCGCTGGTCGTCAAGTACCTCGGGTTGGTGCGTGACAGGCCAACGAGGAAGCTATAGCTGCACCAGCAGAACAGCTGCGCAGACGTTTCATCGATGAGGAGCAGACCGGGCGCATGGCGAAGACGCCGGTCTTGATCAAAGCCTACGCCGAGCTGACATTCGACGACGAGGAGGTGCAAGAGCGCGAGGAGGAGGATTACTGACAGAAGTTCGGCTCGCTGCAGTTCGCGGCGACGACGACGAGGCCGGACATCGCGTTCGCCTGCAGCAAGCTGGGGAGTGGCCTCACGGTGAGGAGCGACCAGCACTGGCGCGAGGTCGACCATTGCCTCGCCTACCTTGCTGATACCCGTGACACTGCCCTGGAGTTTGGCGATGGACCTGAGCCGCTGGACCTGGCTGCAGCACATGGTGAGGCACGGGAAGTTCGTTTTGATGTACTCCTGACCACCGAGCAGCCGGCCGGCTTCTTGACGAAGGCGCTGCATTTTTTCGCCTTCCACCGGTGCTCCGTCTCAATCGGCCAAGTGCGCCTGGCCAACGTCGGCAACGAGGACAATGAGGTGTAGCAGTAGGTGTTGCGCCCTTCTGCACGGCTGGTGCGGTGATGGCATGCTGTATGTGGGGTGGACGCCGAGGACAAGTTTTCTCCGTGGACTACTGCCGTGAGGGCGAGGAGCCCAAGCATGAGCGCGACAGGGGAGCGTTAACGAGAATGGGGTGTTGGCCCCGCCCTCGCTTGGGCAACGCCAATGTCTTGGTCGGATGCACGGGAGAAGCAACCGACTGTTTGCAGTGAGGGAGCTGCTCGACGGGTTTCGTCGAGCCGCAGGGATCACTGTGGTGTTGTCGTCAACCAAGGGTGCTCGACGACCTTCTTTTGTGGGGCAGGTCGACGAGGTGGTCGTCGACCTGCAAAGAACTGTCGCAGGGCTGGAGCCGTCGACCAGGGTAGCTCGACGGCTGCAGCTGACTGGGCTAGTCGACGGACGGGCCGTCGACCAGGAGGGGCAGTTCGATAGGCTGCGGTTGACCGACGGGTAGCTGTCGTGGACTGGAGATCGACGGGTGCAGCTGTTCGTGCTGGTCGACGGGACTGTCAACCATTGTAGTTCGATGGGGAGGTCGACGGAGCAGTCAGTCGACCTACGTAGGATATGTGAGCGGCACTCGACGAGGGGAGCTCGGCGTCAGCAGCTGACAGTGCTAGTCGACGGACGGGTCCGTTGACCAAGGTGGTCTCCTACAAACGCGGTGGTCGACGAGGGAGGTCGTCGACCAGGGCGCACACTAGGTGGTCGATCAAGTCGACCAGGTAACATGCTCGGCGAATTCTGCGGAGGCACGCGAACATCTTCGAGGTCGCGATGACGAAGGCAACTTCGGGCTAGTACCCCGAAGTCGATATGGCTCGTGAGGCGCAGACCACAGCCGAGAGATGCACAACGGTGCAAGTCGGGCGAATCATCCGTGCGCACCTGCATACGTGCGCACCGCTGTCTTCTACGGGTGCAACGCTGGACAGTCGCACTGCTGCAGCGTTGGCACGCCGTCAACCTGTTGCGTTGGCAGGCCACCTTTCTGCAGTGCGGGCATGGCTCCTCTACGCAACGCTGGCACGCGGTCAACCATGCTGTGTTGGCGGTCGACCAGGCTAGCTACATAGTTGCTAGTTGCTTGATGTAGTAATTCTTGTCATTGCTTGTTCAAACATTCTGTAATGAAATCTTTGCCTAGTGGAAACTCTTGACGATTTCTCCCGTGAATACGCAAGTGCTAAGGAACTACGCAAAGCAACGATCACTCCTAGAGTTTGTGGCAACCCCCGTAGTCTAGCTCACAACTATTGTAGAGTGACTCTCCGCAACTATTATACTAGTGGGTCCTATATCCAGGAAAATACAGTAGTAGTGTGAAGTGGTGAGATGCTAGGAATTGTCGAGAGTGGGCTTCGGTTTTCCTGTCCTCTTCCTGTTTTGTCTCACACCAAACCCGTTTTCACAAAAACATAATATGCAGGTCTGTCTAACTGGTGTTGATGCTCGTGCGCTCTCAAGCGACTTCCGTTCGACCAAGACAATGTATTGTGTGAAGCGTGGCGATGCGTGCGACATGCTAATCATTAGGAATACCTTAATTCGATTGAAATGTTCAAGAACCTTAATAATGGTTACGATTGTGCAGTGAGTAGGTTATGGACTGACATGTTGCTTTGTTCGCCTTGATGTATCTGAACCATTAGCACTAGAGCGAACCTTTGCAGGTCGAACCAAACAACAATCCTCAGATAAAGCAACCATAGAAAAGAGCGTCGTAATATATGGTGTTGGAAACAAGTAACTTAACGCTTATGAAGTATCGAAGTATCAATACGAAACGGAGCAGATTATAGTGAAGCAACACACGAGTCAACAAAAGCAACAACTGGAGGTTACGCGAAGGTCAAAGGTCGCTGACCTTTGACTCGACGAAAAATGCAGCACGACAGCAAGGACACATAACTGACTCGATACTGAGCAGTTACCTGAGTCGTCACTATATCGAACCGCAACAGCAAAACAGTTAAAGTAAAATCTTTCATATTCCTTTGTAATCATATAAAGCCTTGTTTCTCTCTGCTATTATTAACTTCTCTTGTTCTCACATACCAGTGCAAGGTGGTTCAGTAAACTTTTTTATGACGCTTCCGCAAACTACAACATTCCTACTCAAGAGATCTTAGCCTTGAAAAGATCCTAAGGGCTAATTCTCAGCCCAACATATGGGACCTTCATTAGGGGATATCTTACTGTAGCATGTTTTGTTTCTATGAAGGCTCTATCAATAAAACACACCAATGCTATGGGGTATGAATTATGATGTCATAACTTGATGTCACACATTTGTTGTTTTGAATTAGTTTTGAACTGCTTTCTGGTTTCTGCACGGGAGTACAAATAAAGGGTGGAAAGGAGAACAGGTTGGAAGTGTATCAATCAAACCGTTGACATCCTGACACCGACACCTTTCACACCGAAACTGTACCTCTCATCATTGTTGTTGGATATTATACTTTATCGTTGTGTTCGCGAGCCGTGCTGGCAAGATTCTGTAGAGGCCTTCACTGTATAACTCTGTCGCCACGAAGCCAGTTGCTGGAATAGTTGCTTCCTTTTTCGAGCCTCTAGTTCAGAAAGCAAGTCACTGTTCCAAACCACCTCGAGCCGCTGCAATGCTGGCAAGATTCGGCCAGCGAGCATGGCTGAAGCATGCAAAGCCGTTGACATCCCCAGACACTATTGATCGAGGAGGGGCCTGCTGCAGTACAAATGATGCTCAACCCCTGCGCGCGAATTTGACTTGATGCGCCAGAGAGTCTGCACGCGAGTTTTTGGGGCCAGCCAGTTGCACCCAGTTGACAAGCCCGTCGAGCAAGTTGCAGTGACGAGTAACCAATGGTAACGAGACTTGACCAAAGTCAACTGTCAATGCAATTGTGGTGAACCAATGGTAACGAAGAGACTGACATCAAATGTCAACGTGTAACATTTGAGGAATTTTAAGCACTTTTTTGCTAGCTTTGACGTTGACGAATCTGGCGAATTTATTAGAACATTTTATAAGACCCCATCACATGGCTACAGTTGTCTACTCAAACGAGCATCATTTGTACTGCCTGGGGATGGTGGCAACTGGGGTTGCATTGTCTGGTATGCGATGTTGGAAGGAACCCCATTTTCCCAATGAGGGAGTTGGACTGGATACAAAAACCACTGCTATTTCCACGTCGTCGAAAGTTGTTTCAAAGGCACCCAAGGATTCGGCTATCCTTCAGACACCTAGAATTCAAAAGTAAGAATGATGCTCTCCTAATCGATGTCTATTTTCATGTCTGATTCAGCACACTGTGGATCACACTCACCACCCACTCGCGCGGGTCTTGTTTTTAATTACCACCGTAATTGCGTCGTCGTAATCGAAAGGGTCAAACAATACCTGATTTCAAAATGATTTCATTCTATACAGCCCACGGTGGGTATTTACCCACGGAAGTGCAAATCGAGGACGTGAAAATAGCGGTAGAAAATGTACAGTACTGTTCAGTTCCCCCAGTGCCCAGATGGACTGCGGTGGTGTGCAGTGCACTGCTGCGAGGGTGGGATGGGATGGGCATGGCATGGGACTGCTGCACGTGAGGTTTCCTCGGAGGGTTCTCGCCAATGAGTGTGGAGGTTCAATCGCCAGCTTCCGTGTAGAAAGTGAAGTTTTGAGAGACTCAAAACTTCACTTTCTACACAAGGCGGCTGATGAACTTAGAGACTCTTAACAAAGTGCTAATAAGGTCTGCTCACAAGATCTTGCTTGAGGTTAGAGAGTGGTTATCGTCACTGGAAGGTAGCCAGATAAAAGGTGTTGTCCCAGGCTTCTGTCAGCGGAGTGAGGCAAGGTGGGTCATGGTGAGAAGCCGAGGGAGGAATTGGTTGGGTTGGGAGTTTGTGGGGAAAGGGGGGAGGGGGAAGGATGAGAAACACATGGGTGCCCCGTGGTGTGCGATGAGACGTCTCAAAACTTCACTTTCTATACGCGTGAGCTTTCCTCGGAGAGTTCTCACCAATGAGTGTGGAGGTTCAATCGCCAACTTCCGCCAGCATAGGGGCGAGTGAGCACGTGGGTTGTCCGCACACCGCCAGCCGAGATATATCAGCAGCAGTATTGCTCGCCGCATTTTGTTGAACTTCGTGTTATGAGGCCACTCAAAACGCAGCATTGCTTGCATCTTGTGGAGCTTCGTGTCATGAGTCCACTCAGAACGCAGCATTGCTCGCTTACTGTTGGAAACTAGGTGGATTAGTACTTCAGGCGCGCCACGGCCGTGGCCAGGTAGTTAGGACCGATAAAACACGTCCACTCAGCGCCAGTCTGCTAATAGTACTACTATTCCAACCCAGCAGTAGTAAGAGCATCACGTGTGCCATCCATTGCTTAGTAGCACTACTCGTGAGGATATCGGCCGACGATGACGCTGCGTAATCTCGCGCCGCCAGTCGCGGCGCTTCTGATTCGGCTCCTGATATTTGCGTTAACCTGCGCGGTTCGAGGAGCGGCAGCAGCGACTCCTGTGATTCTCGACGCCGGTCAAAGTGCGTGACTTCCCGGACCTAAAAAAAGACGGGCGTGATTCTTCATCAAGTTGACGCCGTTCGAAGTTCGCGTGACTAAAAAACTGAAATGTAACACACAACGCGATACATGAAAAGACTCGGTGTACCTATAACACCTCGCTACCCACTGGGTCAAAACGAGGGTGTTATTTTGGCGCAGCGGAGTGCCCTTAACACAGCCCACAGGCGTTACAGTACCTGTGAACGCCGTTCAAAGTGCGCGTGCGTGCCTATGCCAGCGTCCCGATGACGGAGGCCGCAGCTGTCGCCGCTTTCAAGTGATGCAGAGGCGGCCTAGTCACGCACAAGTTGAAGCCTAGTCCCCCACCCTCTTTCAAATGAGTCATTCCCGGCCACGTGCCGGGATCCGCCCCTCTCTTCCTTCAGTCTCCCCACTGCTGCCAATAAACCCGCGCCTCCCTTCCCAATGCGGCGTTTGCCAGCTCTGCCAAGACCCGTCCTTTTCCTTCCCCCATTCTTAACACTCTCGAAGAATACGCTTGGGAGACTCTCGGAGGATATTGGAGGCGCCTCAAGCGTTTCCTTCCCCCATCCCTGCTGACTTTCTCGAAGGATAGTAGGGTTTCCAGTGCGTCAAATCAAAGCTCTCCTTACTTCCATGCCCATCCCTGTTAACCTGTCTTGCAGGATATGCTCTGGAGAGGATTTTCAGTTCGTCGCCCGCATGGGTGGTGGAGAGGACTATAGCTGTAGCCCGGGGGAATCCTCATGATCGTTTGCAACGCCAAGGGCGCTCTGACCCGCCCTCCCTTTCCCAATGCTGCTTTGCCAGCTCCGCCACCAAGTCCCGTCCTTCCCTCCACCCATCCCTGTCAACCTTTCCTGCAGGATACGCTTTGGAGAAGATTTTCAGTGCGTCAACAGCCATGGTGGTGGAGGAGAGCTACAGCTGCAGCCCGGGGGAATCGTCTCTCATCGTTTGCAACACGCGGGGCGTTGTGACCCAGCTGTGAGTGACACGTTCCTTTGACCCAGCCCAGCTGTGATCCTCCCCGCTGCTCCTCCCCGCTGCTCCTGCTCCTGCTCCTCCTGCTCCTCCTGCTCCTCCTGCTCCTCCTGCTCCTCCTGCTCCTCCTGCTCCTCCTCCTGCTCCTCCTCCTCCTCCTCCTCCTCCTCCTCCTCCTCCTCCTCCTCCTCCTCCTCCTCCTCCTCCTCCTCCTCCTCCTCCTCCTCCTCCTCCTCCTCCCCCCCTCGAGGTCTCTCTACTACTCAATGCCTGAGCTCCTTTCCGAGATTTTCCGTCTCTCACGCCTCTCTTCCCACCCTTACCCCCCTTCTCTTTCCCTCCTTCCCCATCTCCCTCTCCCCTCTCCAGCTCTCTCTACTCCATGCCTGAGCTCCCTTCCGAGATTCTCCGTCTCTCACGCCTCTCTTCCCACCCTTACCCCCCTTCTCTTTCCCTCCTTCCCCATCCCCCCTCCCCCTCTCCAGCTCTCTCTACTCCATGACTGGGGTGCCTTCCGAGATTCTGAGGTCTTCCCCTCCTTCCCCATCTCCCTTCTCTCCCCCCTCCAGGTCTCTCTACTCTATGCCTGAGCTGCCTTCCGAGATTCTCCTACTCTCACGCCTGGAATCACTGTGAGTGAGGGTCGCTACAATGACTCTAGACTAGGGCAGAGCGCTCACAGAGGCGTGTATTCTTAAGGCGCCTACAAAGTACACTGAGAGTGAGGGTCTTGACAGCGGTTCTAGACTAGATGGCAGAGCAGCGTTCGCAGAGGCGTGTATTTCTGAGGCGCATACACTGAGAGTGCGGGTCTTTTACAATGACTCTAGACTAGGGCAGAGCGTTCACATAGGCGTGTATGGTACATACCATCGTGCATCTAATTTGAGCCTCCCTTCCTTAGTTGGTCATTTACGTTTACGTTTACGTACGTACGTGTACGGGTACGTACGTTTACGCGGCTGTTGGGTTGGAGGCCTAATGTACGGGCAGGCGAAAAAATTTCTGGGCTGCCCGAACATGTATATTTTCTCTATAGTTCTCCCTCGTAATCATGATTTCCATCATATAGTGTAAACATTCCATCATGTAGTGTACATTTAGATTTGACTCAACGAATTGGTTTGACTCGAAGTTGGAATTCGCCGAAACCAGTGAAGCTCGGCGGTGACGAAACTGCCGAGCGGGTGAGATTCGCTTACCTTGCAAACGAAGCAATCGCGATCTGAGTCAAACTGTTCGCAATGTTCTATCGCGAACAGTTTGCACACATTCGGATCTACTCCCACCACAATTTCCTCCCTCCTTCTCTCGACAGACTTAGCTATCGTGGTTCTACCGCCTTAGTCGACATAGTACGTAGGGTAGTCGCCACACCATAGCAACCCTAGCTAGCAACTTTCCTGTTTCTTACATTACTACTTTGAAAAACGTCGCGCCGTTTTGCTAACACGCTAACAGAGCACAGGTCCTCGAAAACTTTTTTTTTTTTAAAGGTTTTTCCAAAAACCGTTTTCGAAGAAATTTCAACGCGAACTTTTTTTTTCTGACCTGCCCGGCGTACGTACACGTACGTACGCGTACGTACACGTAAACGTACATGTACGCGTACGTTACGTGTACGTGGGCTGAAATGGCGTAAATGACCAACTTAGCTCCCTTCATCCATCCCATCCCAACCCTGCCTTACTGACGCCCCCAACCATCACCCGAGCAGGAGATTGAACAGTAATGGTGGCTTGACCAGCCTGCCATCCCTCATCGGCTCACTTGCTTCCCTCACCTACCTGTCAGTCACCTCACCTACCTGTCGTCAGGCATCTCACCTACCTGTCAGTCATCTCACGTACCTGTCAGTCACCTCACCTACCTGTCAGTCACCTCACCTACCTGTCAGGTCAGTCACCTCACCTACCTGTCAGTCACTTGAAGGAGAGAATTGATGAATTGAATAATGAGCCAAGAGGCCCTTTAGTACAAACAATGAGCAAGAGAGAGATGAGAGGGAAGCTTACCCTATTGGCCAACATGTTGACCAATGGGTGAGCTTGCTTGTGGCTCAAGCAACCACAAATGTGTGTTAGTTGGGATTGGTTGAGTTAATGACCAATCCCAACCAACCACAAAATGTGGTTGGAGGGTACACTAAACAACCCCCCAATTTATAAATGTGCTACACATCTAATTCTAGCCTATGTATGTTGTATAAAATGGGAAATTTCAACACAGTCACCTCACCTACCTGTGAGTCACCTCACCTCACCTACCTGTCAGTCACCTCACCTACCTTTCAGTCACCTCACCTACCTTTCAGTCACCTCACCTACCTGTCAGTCACCTCACCTACCTCTCAGTCACCTGCGCATCTACTAGTCACTCATTCCCTTTTCGCCGTTAGCTTCCCTCCCCTCCCCCCCCTCCCCCCTCCCCTGCCCCCTCTCCTCTCCTCCTGCTCCAAACCTTTCTGTCCGTCTTTTACCTTTCCTTCTCTAACAGCCCTCTTCTCCTTCCTCTCCTGCTCTAGCCATGAGTCCCCTCTTCACCTCATCCAACCCTACTACACCCCTGCTCTACTTTCCCTCTCCACCGTTCTTCCTGCTCCAGCCCTCCCTCTGCTCAGGCCGTTTCTTCCAGGCGATCTTAAGCCAACTCCTAACAACCGACACCCTCCTTCCCTTCTCTTCTCCTTCCCCTACCTCCCTCCCTCCCTCCCTTCTCACAGACACATCGAGTCAGCAGTCAGTAGCGGCGGCATCCCGACCGCCTTCAGCCGACTCAAGAAGCTACGTCACTTGTAGGTGACTCAAGTGCCACTCAGATCCTCTAGAAGGCCACACCCCGCACACCTCTTGCCCTGCTTGCTTCTTGTTACATCAGCTCAGCTCACACACACTCGTCTTCCTTCTTGTTGTCCAAACACCTGCCACTTATCTTATCACCATGCTTCTTCGATGCCCCTCTGAACAGAAACTTTGTTCCTTACCAGGACACGTGTCCCTGCCAGGCGCCTCAGAAGTTACCAGGACATGTGTCCCTGCCAGGAAACCGACCGGCTAGGAGCTGGGGGGTTCTAAAATCAATTTCTCTCCACTTATTTCCCACATTCCTTCCTGTGTTCTCACGTTCTCCGTCAGAAAACTAATCAGCAACAATCTGGAGGGTCCGATCCCAGAGTCGTTCTCCGCACTCACTGCTCTCACACTCCTGTAGGCTCTCTCTCACACACCCGTATGCTCTCACACTCCCAAGTTGTTCCAGGTCGTTCCCGAGTCGTTCCCGAGTTGTTCCCGAGTCGTTCCAGGTCGTTCCCGAGTCGTTCCAGATTCGTTCACACTACTCACACACTGCTCTCACACTCCTGTAGGCTCTCACACACCTGTTTGCTCTCTCTCACACACTTGTATGCTCTCATATTCCCGTAGGCTCTCACACTCCTGTTGGCTGTCACACACCTGTTTGCTCCTACACTCCTGAATGGTCCCGTCCCACACTCCTGAATGGTCCCACACTCCTGTATGCTCTCACACTCCTGTATGCTCTCACACTCCTGTATGCTCTCACACTCCTGTATGCTCTCACACACCTGTTTGCTCTCACACTTTGAGGAAGGCAAACACCCCATAGGTGAAACACCTCAGCGTTTGTCTCCTAGTCCCCTCTTCCACTCCCCTGTGCTGCTCTTCCTCTCTGTCAAGTCAACCAGCTCAACTCCTCCATCCCCACAAAGCCCGTTTTAGAGTCGACTAAAAACCAGGCACCCTGAACTGAACTCTGTACTTTTACTCCTCTGTGCTGCTCTTCCTCTCTCGCAGGTCTCTTTCCGTGAACCAGCTCAACTCCTCCATCCCCGCAAAGCTCAAATCACTCCAGAGACTTGCATCGATGTAGGTCTATGGTGATACTCAGTTGTGCCTTTTGAGTCGAATCGACTCAGTTTTCCCTTGTGAGTCGAGCCGACTCACTCTGCCTTCCGAGTCGAGCCGACTCAGTTCTGCCTTTTGAGTCGAGTCGGTTCAGTAGCACCCTACCTACCCTTCCCTACCTAGTACCCTACCTCGGTAGCAGTCTTGACGTGCCTTTGAAAACTAGCATATTCCCTGTTTTGCCATCCACCTCATCTCCCCCCCTCGACTGCCACACACACACCCATTTCCCTGCCCATCCGCACAACCCATTTCCTTCCCCCCCTCCCCCAATATCATGCAAACCCACAGCGATCTGAGCAACTTTTGAGAATTCTCAGAAACAACCCATTTTCTCCCCCGCCATTTTTAATAATCATTCACTTCACACCCACAGCGATCTGAGCAACAACAAGCTCTAAGGCTCCCTCACTCCCCTCAATCCCCACTCACTCCCCTTCATGTCTGTCTCAACTCATTCCCCCCCCCCTCCCTCCCCCTCTCCCCCATATCACGCACGCCCACAGCGATCTCAGCAACAACAAGCTCTCAGGCTCCATCGCTCCCCTCGCTTCCCTGCGAGGTCTCGACACAATGTGCGCCCCTCACTCACTCCCCTTAGTGTCTGGCTGCCTGAATGCGTGAGGATTTTCAAAGAACAAATTCACCTACACCACAAGCTATCTAAGCAACTACAGCCTCTCCGACTCCATCCATCACTTCCATCGCTTCCCTCGCTCCCATCACTCCCATCGCTCCCATCGCTCGTTCCCCTCGCTCCCATCGCTTGCTCCCCTCGCTCCCATCGCTCGCTCCCCTCGCTCCCATCGCTCGCTCCCCTCGCTCCCATCGCTCGCTCCCCTCGCTCCCATCGCTCGCTCCCCTCGCTCCCATCGCTCGCTCCCCTCGCTCCCATCGCTCGCTCCCCTCGCTCCCATCCCTCGCTCCCCTCGCTCCCCTCGCTCCCCTTGCTCCCATCGCTCGCTCCCCTCGCTCCCATCGCTCGCTCCCCTCGCTCCCCTCGCTCCCATCGCTCGCTCCCCTCACTCCCCTCGCTCGCTCTCCTCGCTCTCCTCGCTCCCATCGCTCGCTTCCCTCGCTCCCATCGCTCGCTCCCCTCGCTCCCATCGCTCGCTCCCCTCGCTCCCGTCGCTTCCGTGCGAGGCCTCGACATAATGTGCGCCCCTCACTCACTCCCCTTCGTGCCTGCCTGAATTCGTTTTTTTTTTTTTTAAGAATCATCGACATACATGATGTGCACCCCTCACTCCCCTCCGTGTCTGCCTAACGGTCAACTGTTCTAGGGTCTGTTTCTCTTGTTCTGCAAGTCTGAGAATTCCCATGCGTGGTGGTGTCATGGCGGCCACATGCATGATCTGTACGAGGTCCTTTTGAGGCGCCTAATAGAATTGAGGGTAGAGAAACGACTTATGAGGCGCCTCAAAAGACATGCATGATCTGCATGAGGTCCTGTGTTTTGCTTAGAACTCGTGCAACTCTCTCTCTCTCATCTCTCTCCCCGTCCACTTTTGAGTCGACTCAAAAGTCAATTCGCCTCCAAAGACATGCATGATCTGATCTGCATGCGGTCCTGTGTTTTGCATAAAACTCGTGCAACTCTCTCTCATCTCTCTCCGTGTCCGCCTCACAGTCCTCTCCTCCATCTCTCCCCCTGTACCGTACTGTACCCCTCCAAACGACCCCATGGAACAGCAATATTGCTTTCAACTCCTTCAACTCATACCTTCCGGTCTCCATCTTCAATCTGAAGCGGCTAACTGGACTGTAAGCTGCGGCTTGCTAGCTTCCATTCCCATCCCAGTCTTGTAGGTGGTTAATGGGGGAACCACAGGCTGGGAAGGACAGGCCAGCCTTTATGGCAGTCTGAAGTCGGGCCAGCCTGACCCGGGTCACTTTTGAGTCGACTCAAAAGTCACCTCATTAGATTAGACTATGTGGTAGAACTTTTTCAATAATAACTGTTTCAAATGTTTGCGAAACGATAAACATTCCCAATCGCACCCATCTGCATTGCATGTGTTCACTGCTCAGGTTCCTTCAAAACAATGCATTCAATGGCTCCTTACCTGCTTCCATCTCAAGTCTCTCTAATCTCGTTATTCTGTAAGTGCTGCTTTCTATGTTGCTATATATCGTAGTGAGCATGAGTAGGTACCGAACGAACACGTCTGCCCGAACCGAACCATGTCGAACCGGCCGGGGTGTTGAACCGAACCAGTCCTTGTTTGGGTCAAACCGCCAGGGCCTTAACCGAATCACCAGTGATTGCTTTCCTATTGAGAAGTCTAAAAAGAGATAGAAGCAGATGGTTCTCCTCCTCGAGCCGAACTCTGAATCGGTGATATGCTCATACCTATATGTCAAACTATAATGATATAGTTTGTATTGTTCTAGTTAGGCTTGAGCAAAATCTCGAACACCTGTTGTTCGAGGCGAACCAAACTATTTTTTTTTTCTGCCTAATTCGTTCGGGGCGAACATGTTCGGTGTTCGGCCGAACATGTTCGCCGTTCGCCACCTCTATTTGGCGAAGGAAAGACGAACACGAACATGTTCGTGTTCGATTTGGGGGGCAGGTGAACACCTAAGTATTCGCGTCAAAATTGGCCGCGACCAAATTTAGGTCGCGGCCGTTTTGAGTTTGAGCTCATTTCTTGAGCTTAAACTCAAAACGACTTTGGCGCTCAGCCCTCCCTCCCTCAACCGCCATAGCCTTGCGGCTTTAAAAGCCATCGCACACCGTTCCTTAACTTTTACACGGACATTTCATCTAACAAGTTAGTAGTGTAGGGTAATTTCAAAAACACTAAGGGTTGGTAGCCACGGGATCAAGCTTGTACTGGGTTCGTTGCATGCACACATATACACCCTGCAAACCTTTTGCTATCATCCTGAACCTTCAAAATCGCTTTCTGACCTGCGTGACTATATCGAATACCCCCCTGGGCGAACACGGACATGTTCGCCTCGAACATGTTCGTGTTCGCCTGCTGCAGCAATTCGTTCGCCTCCTAGGGCGAACGGCGAACACCAATTTTCGCCCATGTCGTTCGCCGAACCGAACACTGTTCGGTTCGGCAGAAGTCGATGTTCGAGAGGGGGCGAACTCGAACATGTTCGAGTTCGCCCCCTGCTCATCCCTAGTTCTAGTCTAGGTGCATTTACTTTGTCCTAGGTTTAGGGTTAGGGCTGACTTATATCTTGCTTGTTTGTTCATTTGCTATTCATTCATTCTCATATCTTGCTTGGTAGTAGTAGGCTAGGCTCTGCTTTTGAGGCGCCTCAAAAGTTCTCCTCGAACCGAACTGTGGATAAGTGTTACGCTCATGGCTGTAATGTAGTAGTTGGCTCTGTTCTTGATGCTCTTTATGGGTTGACTATGACCGCACTCTCACACTCTCACTCACTCACTCGCTCACTCGCTCACTCTCCTGGATCTATTTACTGTTTGTGTTCTCACGATGGCATGACCTTGCTCGCGTGCTATCTATGCTATGTTGTGTGCCCGTGATGGCATGGCGGGGCGGGGCATGTTAAACGGTTTGTCCACGATATGATATGCTGTGTGCTGTGTGCCTGTGTCCATGATATGCTGTGTGCTGTGTGCCTGTGTCCACGATATGATATGCTGTGTGCTGTGTGCCTGTGTGCTGTGTGCCTGTGTCCATGATATGATAATACAGGTTTTGAGGGCCAATCGCATTTCTGGCGCTATACCTCGTGGCATTGGCTACTTGAAGAAGCTCAAATACTTGTACGCTTTATAGCATGCCCCAGAACAAGCTCAAATCCTTGTACACTTTATACCATGCCCCACGTTCTTCCATCCTTGACAGACATTCCATGCCCGAGTATCTCCTCAAACCCGATATTCCGGTACGTTACCCTGGGCCTGATGAGTTTGTGAGCATGTGAGTCACTTTTGAGAATTCTCTAAAGTTCATCCATCCTTCACATTCCAACCCGAGCCCCTTGCTCTCGCCCCGGGCTCTCGCTACCAGCCCATTCCATTTTCTCTTGCGCACCTTACATAAAAGCTTACATGTGCTCTCACATTTGGACTTGCACACCAACTGAACCCTCTCCCCCAGCCCTACCACTACCAACCACCCTTGCACGAAGCAGGGACCTGGCCTACAACCCCATTTCAGGGAGTTTTCCCTCAACCATGGGATCCTTAAAATCACTCGTGATGCTGTGAGTGAGCTTATGTCTTATTCAGTGTGATGTTGTTGTTCCCATGTCTTATATCTCATCTGTCAGCTTAAAATCACTTGTGATGCTGTGAGTGAGCTTATGTCTTACTCAGTCAGTGTCATGTGTTGTTCCCATGGCTTTTTTTCCCAACACCACGAGTCAAGTCAAGTCCATCGCAGAAGCAGATTTCACATATCTGTGTTTGCCGTTCCCCTTGCATGCCTTCTTACAGCAGCAGCAACATCAGCGTTTCACAAATCTCCTTGGCTTTCCCCCTTGCTTCACACTTCTCAACCTGCTTCAATCCGCGTGGTTCAATTCAACACTGCCGCCTTCCATGCCCCATTCCATGCCTTCTTTACTGCAGCGACATCAAGTCTGCAAAGCTCAACGACTCTCTGTCTCCCACGTTTGCAAAGCTCCAAGCGCTTGAGTTCATGTAAGGCATTGCGTCTGTTGAGTTGACTTAGTAGCCAACGTAGCTACTGTCGAGTTGACTCAGTAGCCAATGTAGCTGCTGTCGAGTTGACTCAGTAGCCAATGTAGCTGCTGTCGAGTTGACTCAGTAGGCAAGGTAGCTGCTGTCGAGTTGACTCAGTAGCCAATGTAGCTGCTGTTGAGTTGACACAGTAGGCAATGTAGCTGCTGTCGAGTTGACTCAGTAGCCAATGTAGTTGCTGTCGAGTTGACTCAGTAGGCAAGTTAGCTGATGTGGAGTTGACTTAGTAGGCAATGTAGCTACACTTGAGTTGACTCAGTAGGCAATGTAGCTACACTTGAGTTGACTCAGTGGGCAATATAGCTACACTTGAGTTGACTCAGTAGCCAGTGTACTAGGTAGTTACTGTTGAGTTGAATCACAAGGCAGTGCAGCTGCTTTTGAATTGACTCAGTAGGCAGCCATTGTGGGTATGCAAGTGCCAAACCGAGCCAGGGATAAGCAAAGTATTGAACTGCTGTGCCAAACCGAGCCTCCGTTCGTTCAACTCGAGGGCAGTTCGATGCAATAGAAGTTTGCATTGAAGCGACAAAGTTTCGACAGGTAACCTGCACGACTCGACCTCCATGCGTTCCCTCATCTCTTACTCAATGCGTTACTCAATGTGTCATCCCATCCCATGTGTTACCCCATGCGTTCTTCCACGCTTCCTCCATGCATCCTCCATGTGTTATTTTTCCTTCCTCTTCCCGCAGCTCCTTGGCCAACAACCAGCTCTCCGGCTCGTTCCCCGCCTTCCTCACCAACCTCTCATCTCTTGTCATGATGTAAGCATGATGTGATTGTGATGTCATTGTGATGTAATTGTGCTGTGGGCCATCATGTTGTTATGCATGATGTGTGAAGATTTGAAAAAGAATGATTAGCTTCATCGGGGAACAAGTGAGCATACATAGGATGCAAGAGGAGCTTGGAAGGGAAGGGGGGGGGGGGAAAGGTGGGTGGTTGGGTAGTCCCGATGGCAACTTGCAAGGAGGGGGCACCCAACTTGCAACAAGGACCATGTGGGTTGCAAGGAAGGGGCACCCAACTTGTGGGTTGCAAAGAGGGGTACCCAACTTGCACTTGGGGGCTCCAACACTTGTGGGTTGGATTGGCACCCCAATTTGCAAGTCTACACCCCAAAGTTGGGTGTAGGCCTACAAAGCAAGCTACACCCAAAGTTGGGTGTAGCCCCAACCCATTTTTTACTTAACATGCTATACATACATTTCTAGCACAACCCCTTAGCATGCTAAAACAAGAAGGGGACAACCCCTGAATCAAGGGGCGCCCGGGCGAGCAAGGCCGATAAGGCGGAGGAGAGCAGAGTGAGCATGGCGAAGGAAGGCCTTGGTGAAGATGTCGGCCAAGTTGGCCTCGGCAGTAATCTTGCGTACGGCAAGAAGGCCGCGCTGGACGAGCTCGCGGATGAAGAAATAGCGCACCTCGATGTGCTTGGAGCGGGCATGGTAGACAGGGTCCTGAGTGAGGTGGATGGTGCTGGCATTGTCACACCAGAGGGTGGGGCAGGGCTGAGGGGCACCAAGCTCAGCAAGATGAAAGCAGAGCCAGCGGGATTCCTCGGCGGCCATGGTGCCAGCATAGAGCTCGGCTTCGCAGGTGGAGAGGGAAACAGAGAAGGAGCGCGTGGAACGCCAGCTGCCAAGGCCGCTGCCGAGGGTGAAGCCATAGCCCTGAGAGGAGCGGCGGTCCGGCTGCGTATCGGCCCAGGAGGAGTCGCTGAAGCCTGAAAGCAGGGGAGGGGAGGGGCCACCAAGAGTGAGGGCATGGTCCTTGGTGCCGCGAAGGTAGCGGAGGACCCTCTTAGCAGCTTTCCAGTGTACCTCGGTGTGGCGACCAGTGCCAACAAAGTGTGCGAGCACGCTGATGGGGTAGGTGAGGTCGGGACGGGTGCACATCATAGCGTACATCAGCGACCCAACGAGCTCAGCATAAGGGCGAGTGGAGGAGGGAGAGGTGGGTGGGGCAAGCTGGTGGCCAAAGGGGAGGGGGGTGGCCATGGGACTGGCCTACGCCATCTCGAACTTCTCCAAGATCTGGCCGATGTAATGGGACTGGGAGAGGGTGATGGTGCGAGCAGGACGGTCGCGAGTGATAGCCATGCCCAGGTAGTCCGTGAGGTCGCCCAGGTCCTTGCACTTGAGGCGTTGCTGCAGCTGCTGCTTCATCTGCTCCATGTCAGCCTTGGAGTCAGCGAGCATGCTCATGTCATCCACATATACCAGAATGAAAAAGCGGCGAGGGGAGGAGCGAAGGAAGAGACTTGCGTCAGAATGCGAGGCAGAGAAGCCGAGGGACCCCAGGGTGGCAGACAGCTTCGCGTGCCACTCCCTAGGCGCCTACTTCAAGCCGTAGACAGGCCGACGCAGCTGCCACACAGTGTTCTCGCGAAAGGTGGCGTGGAACCCGGGGGGGCGCCGAAAGAAGATACGCTCGTGCAGGTCCCCTTGCAGGAATGCGTTGGAGACGTCCATGGAGCAGATCTCCATGTCGTCGCACGCACCAATGTCGAGAAGGGTGCGGAGGGTGGGCGGCTTGGCGGTGGGGGCGTAGGTGAACCAGTAATCCTCAGCCCAAGTCTGGGTGAAACCCTTAGCGCAATAGCGGGCCTTGTAGACCGGAGGGGGACATCAAAGAAGGAGTCGTTACGAATGAATGCCTCACACTCCAGGAAGATTGTCGCGATCCACTTATCCGCATCAGGGCAGGCGATGGTCTCTTTAAAGGTGGAGGGAGTGAAGATGGTGAGGGTGGAGGTGGCGCCAAAGACGGGAAGGCCAAGGAAGTCAAGGAAGATGGAGGCAAGGAAAGGAGTGTGGTGCCGAATGTTGAGGAATTTCTCATGGGAGTCCTCAAGGAGCTGAATGGAGGCGAGAGGAGGGGCTCCAATGACTTTGTCCAAGGAGCGAGTGTGCATGCGAGGGAGGAGGAAAGGGGAGGAGCGAGAAGTTTCTCGGTGCTGCTGGTGCTGCTGCTGCGCCTGCTGCTGCTGCTGCTGCTGCTGCTGCTGCTGCTGCTGCTGCTGCTGCCCCTGCCGCTGAGTCGGCTGCTGCTGCTGCTGACCCGGCTGCTGCTGCTGCTGCCCCTGCTGCTGACCCGGCTGCCACTGCTGCTGTTGCTGCTGCTGCTGCCCCTGCTGCGGAACCGGCTGCTGCTGCTGCCGCAGGTGAGGACCTGGCTGCTGCTGCTGCAGGCCCGGCCGTTGCAGAGAAGGGGGAGAGTGAGAGGAGGAGGGAGAGGGGGGAGGGGGCGCAGCGGAGTGGGCCGGGGAGGCGGGTGCGGCGGGGTTATAGACGTTAGCAGAGGAGGACGGAGGGAATGGAGCTGCAACGGGGGGGAGGAGAGGAGCGAGAGGGAGGAGGGAGAGGGTCAGGTGGAGTAGTAGGGGATGGACTCGTCGAAGACGACATCATTGCTGCGGATGAGGCGGTTGGTGGGAGGGTGGAGGAACAGGTAGCCTGGGGAGTCGCGATTGTGCCCGAGGTAGACGCACTCAAGGGCACGGGGGGCGAGCTTGCCAGCGGCACGGGAGCGATCGGTCGGCGGGATGAGGATGAAGGACTTGCAGCCCCAAACGCGAAGGCCGGCAGCGTCAGGCTTGGCCTTGGACCAGAGTTCTGTGGGGGAGGAGGAGGGATGCTGAGGGTGGGAACGGAGATTGAGGAGGAGGGCGGCATGGAGGAGGGCATAGCTCCAAAGGGAGGGAGGGGTGGAGGCGTGAGCAATGAGGCAACGGGCAATTTTGGTGATTTTGCGGATATGACTCTCAGCAATGCCATTTTGCTGAGGGGAGTGGGGAAGGGTGGAGGTTTGCTGGATGCCATGAGTTTTGCAGAAGGTGGCAAGGGTGTTGTTGATGAACTCACCTCCACCGTCAGAGTCAAGGCAGCCAATGGGGCGTTTGAAGTGATAGTGACACTGCTCGTCCCAGTTGATGACAACATCCGGCACCTGGTCTTTGGCGTGAAGGAAAAAGACAGTGGAGTACCGACTGTGGTCGTCGACGAGGACGAGCATGTACCGGTGCCCCTGACGGGAGCGGATGGGATAGGGACCCCAGAAATCCATGTGGACAATGTCAATGGGAGCGGCAGCAAAGGTGGGATGGTTGTGATGGGGAGACTGCTTGAGCTTGCCATGAATGCATGATGGGCATGGGGGAGCAGGAGAGGAGAGGAGGGGAGGTAAGGTGGGAGGGAGGCTGTGAAGGAGGCGAGAGGTGACAGTGGTGCGAAGTGCGACGAAGCTGGGATGGCCGAGTCTGTGGTGCAAAATGACTGCTGGGTGGGAGAGGGCAGTAGAGGAGGAGGGGGATATGGTGGGAGAAGAGGTGGGGAGGGAGGAGGAGGGGGGTGAAGAAGGGGAGGGGGATACTTGAGGGGGAGGGAGAGGGGGAGGAGGACCGGTGGAAATACTAGCACGAGTGGTAACATGACAGAAAGAGGGACGGGGTGTGCGGAGCGTGTAAAGTCGAGTGCGAGGGCAAAGGGGAATGCACAAAAAGAAGCGACCAGAGGAGGTTTGGTAGAGATCACAGTAATGAGCAAAACCAGGGTAAATGACGGTAATACCGACACCTTGGAGCTCTCGGTGAGAGAGGAGGTTGTTGCGAACGGTGGGGATGTGGAGACCTGTGACCCTACCGGAGGGGAAAACGGTGCAAGGGAGGGTGGAGAGGTGAGTGCATGGGATGGAGAAGCTGGAGTCAGCACCATGGACCTGCGTGGGAAGTGGGAGGGGGGTGAGGGTGCCAGCGTCTTTGAGTGCGGTTTCTGTGGCCCCATTGTCAAGGACAAAGTCCAAGGTGGGGGAGGAAGGAAGGGGAGGTGACACGGGTTACTGGAATGACGTTTCATTGATAGCAGAGGGATACATGGAAGCGACGGATGGTGCAGCAGTAACATGACCAAGGAAACTGCCCTGAGAGTCAGGGACACTCGGGGGGGCAGAGGGAATGGAACCCCAGGGGGGGGGAGCAAGAGAGGCATGAGCGGCCATGGCTGCTGCGCCGAAGGTCATCGGCTGCTGCTGCCACTGCGGCAGAAGGTGCTGCGGCGGCTGCTGCTGCTGGAAGAACTGCTGCTGCGGTGGCTGCTGCGGCCGAAAAAGCGGCGGCTGCTACTGCTGGAGAAACTGCGGCTGCTGCTGCTGCGGGAAGTACTGCTGTTGTTGCTGCTGCTGGTGCTGCTGAAACTGCTGCAGCTGGGAGGGGGGGGAGGGGGTGAGCAGACGGAGGTGAGCGGGGAGGAAGGAGGGGAGGGTCTGAATGTCCACGAGGGAGGGGCGAGGGGTAACACTGTTCCAGCGAGGAGGGGTACCAGTGTTGCCGCGGTCAAATCAGGCGTCATCAAGCGCCTTGAAGCATGTGGCAGGGGGGTGGTTGGTCTGACCACTCGGCGTGCCGGCGTGGGGACCATGATGGCGAACGTACGTGCACGGGGGGAGAGTCCTAGGGCGACCACCACCACGGCTCACAGCTCCACCAGCACTAGAGGAGCCTCCGGGAGTGGGGCCACCAGGACCTCCTCCACCACCACCACCACCACGGCCACCACGGCCACCACGGCCACTACCCTGAATGCCACCTCCGCCCCCTCCACGACCCCCTCCGCCGCCGTTGCGACCACCCTGGTTGCGCGGCTGCGTGGCATTGAGGGAGGTGGAGGAGGAGTGAGTGGTGGTGAGGTTGACAATGGGGGTGCGGAGCTTGACCTCCGTGTCAATGATCCACTGAGTCACTTCGGGGAGGCCAGCCAAGGGGTTTGCCTCGGTGAAGGCGTGAAGGCGGGACTCGTAGTCCGGCGTGAGGTTGAAGAGCAGACGAGGGATCTGCAAGGGCTCGGAAAGGGCAGCCTGTCGAGCGGCAAGGCGATCAACGACTTCCTGCATGCGCTTGACATAGTCGACTGCGCCGTCGCAGGCGGCAAGGGTAATGGAGAAGTATTCCTGGAACAGAACGCCGACGGAGCTGATGTCGCGACGCTCGAACATAGACTGGAGCTTGGTCCAGATTAGGTGAGCGCGCATCTCGCGAGCTTGGAAGCGTCGCATGAGGGCGTCGGGGAGTGCACCGAGGAGGATGGTGCAGGCGCGGTTGTCGGCAACGACCCAGGCGATGTTGTTGGGGATGTAAGCCGCCATGGAGGGTGTTGTACTCCGCAATCAGCTCCAGGCGAGTGGCACGCTTTGACGATGCAAAGCCGTTGTTGAGCACAGCAACGTCATGGTCGGCTTTGCGGATGAGGTATTCGCGGCGGTTGTGGAGGAAGGTGGCGTCCGCAGCAGCTTAAAGCTCAGGGGTAGCGGCCACGGCCAGGTTAGGCTCAGGAGAAGGGGGGCCAATGCGGGGAGGGAGAGGAGGAGGCTCGCCAGGGTGATTGGGTGCGGTCGGCTGGAGAGCCTGCGGACGGCGAAGGAGAACGTCAAGGACGCAGTAGGGTCCGACGAAGGCGTCTTGAAGGACGCGGCGAATGGTGATGACGAACGAGTGCCAGTTGATGGCGGAGTGATCTGCAGCAAGCTGCAGCTTGTCGACTGAGGAGGCGTCGATGGGAGGGGGGAGAGGAACAGGAGGGGTGGTGGCCATGAAGGGCGACGGCGGGTGGACCCGCGGCGACCAAGGAGGAGACGACGGCGGGTGGACCCGCGGCGGTCAAGGGGGAGGCGACGGCGGGTGGACCCGCGGTGGTCAGGAGGAGGGGGAGGCGCTGCTGCTGGAGCTGGGGCACTTCGCCGGCTGCTGCTGCTGCTGGACCCCTCCGGCTGTTGCTTCTGCTGCTGTTGCCACTGCTGCGGCTGCTGCTGCTGATGGGGCTGCTGCCGCTGCTGCTGTTGATGCCGCTGCTGCCGCTGCTGCCGCTGCTGCCGCTGCTGCTGCTGCTGCCGCTGCTACGAGGAGAGGGGAGAGGGAGAGGAGGAGGGAGAGGGGGAGAGGGGGAGGGGGGACGGAGGGTGCAGTCACGGGTACGGCTGGCACGGCTGCCGCTGCTGCCGCTGGTGTTGCTGCTGCCGCTGCTGCCGGGGATGCCGCTGCTGCTGCTGTTGCCGCTGCTGCTGCTGCCGCCACTGCTGCCGCTGTTGCTGCTGCTGCCGCTGCTGCGAGGAGAGAGGAGAGGGAGAGGAGGGAGAGGGGGTAGGGGGAGGAGAATGCAGGCACGGGTGCGGTTGACACGGCTGCCGCTGCTGCCGCTGATGTTGCTGCTGCCACTGCTGCCAGGGATGCCGCTGCTGCTGCTGCTGCCGCTGCTGCCGCTGCTGCCGCTGCTGCTGCTGCTGCTGCTGCCGCTGCTGCCGCTGCTGCCGCTGCTGTAGCTGCTGTCGCTGCTGTAGCTGCTGCCGCTGCTGCAAGGAGAGAGGAGAGGGAGAGGAGGGAGAGGGGGAGGGGGAGGAGAATGCAAGCACGGGTGCGGTTGATACGGCTGCCGCTGCTGCCGCTGATGTCGCTGCTGCCGCTGCTGCTGCTGCTGCCGCTGCTGCCGCTGCTGCCGCTGCTGCCGCTGCTGCTGCTGCTGCTGCTGCCGCTGCTGCCGCTGCTGCCACTGCTGTAGCTGCTGTCGCTGCTGTAGCTGCTGCCGCTGCTGCAAGGAGAGAGGAGAGGGAGAGGAGGAGGGAGAGGGGGAGGGGGAGGAGAATGCAGGCACGGGTGCAGCTGCCACGGCTGCCGCCGCTGCCATGGATGTCGCTGCTGCCGCTGCTGCCGCTGCTGCTGCTGCTGCCGCTGCTGCCGCTGCTGTTGCTGCTGCCGCTGCTGCCGCTGCTGTAGCTGCTGCTGCTGCTGCAAGCAGAGAGGAGAGGGAGAGGAGGAGGGAGAGGGGGAGAGGGGGAGGGGGAGGAGAATGCAGGCACGGGTGCAGCTGCCACGGCTGCCGCTGCTGCCGCGGATGTTGCTGCTGCCGCTACTGCTGTGGATGCCGCTGCGGCCGCGGCTGTTGCTGCCGCTGCTGCGAGGAGAGGCGGGAAGGAGAGGAGGAGGGAGAGAATGGAGTGGCGGCGGAATGCGCAGGAAGGGGGGAGGGGGGGGGGGGGCGACAGGGTCGCGAGGACGGGGGTGAGCAGGCGGCGATGAGGTGGTCGCGGCGGCGGGAATGGGAGGCGGCGACGATGCAGTCGTGGCCGCGGAAATCGCCGGCGACGGGGGCGCAGTTGTGGCGACGGGAATTGCGGCGGAACTGGCGGAAATCGTGGCGGCGGTGTGTGCAGGCGACGATTTGCAGTCGCAGCAGTGGGAACCGCAGGCGGCGAAAAAGTGGCCGCGGGGAGGGAATCGGCAGGCGGCGACGAAGGGTCGTGGCGGCGGGACAGGCAGCCGGCGACGAAGAGGTCGCGGCGGCGGGACAGGTGGCTGGCGACGAAATGTCGCGCGGCGGAAAAAAAGGGGGAGGGGGGGAGGGGGCAGGCCACGACGGGAGAGGTCGCGGCGGCTGGAAGGGCAGGCGGCGACGAAGTAGGTCTCGGCGGCGAGGAGGGCCAGGCTGCGACGGAAGGGTCACGGGGGCCGGGAGGGCAGGCAGCGACGGAAGGGTCGCGGCGGCCGGGAGGGCAGGCGGCGACGGAGGGGTCGCGGCGGCAAAAGTAGAGGGCGGCGACGTAGCGATCGCGGCGGTGGAATGCGCGGGCGGGAAGGCGCCGGCGGCGAAATCCGTGGCGGAAGGGCACGGGCGGCGGCTGAAAAAGCCGCGGCGGGAAAAACGCCGAGATGGGAAGGGGGAGGGGGACGGGGGCGACTGCAGGGTCGCGTCGCTAGGGAAGCGGATGGTGGGCCCTTGGGAAAAAAAAACTGGAGGGGGAGGATGATTTAGCTCTATACCCTGTGAAGATTTGAAAAAGAATGATTAGCTTCATTGGGGAACAAGTGAGCATACATAGGATGCAAGAGGAGCTTGGAAGGGAAGGGGGGGGGGGGGGGGGGGAAGTTGGGTGGTTGGGTATTCCCTATGGCAACTTGCAAGGAGGGGGCACCCAACTTGCAACAAGGACCATGTGGGTTGCAAGGAAGGGGCACCCAACTTGTGGGTTGCAAAGAGGGGTACCCAACTTGCACTTGGGGGCTCCAACACTTGTGGGTTGGATTGGCACCCCAATTTGCGAGTCTACACCCCAAAGTTGGGTGTAGGCCTACAAAGCAAGCTACACCTAAAGTTGGGTGTAGCCCCAACCCCTTTTATACTTAGCATGCTATACATACATTTCTAACATGATGTAAGCGTGAATACTCTAGAGTTACTAAATTGAAAAACACCATATGTGTGTGCACGGTTGTTGGGGGGTGGGGGAAACAGGTTAATAGCAACCCAAGCATCACACCTAGCTGGACGAGTATGGTCGCATCACATGGGCCATCGATCGTCTAATGTTGATCCGCCACCGCACCGTACTCACGCTTCTTACATCCACAACTCTCAGAACCGTTTCTAATCCCGCTTAAACCGATCGTGAGGACGAACGATCTAGGCAAAGTGACGCTCTCTTAGGGAAATTGTTGGAACTTGAAGGAATCCGCGTGACCCAAGCCACCTTTGTGACAAGGGTGGCACTTGAACTCAGCTATTCGACTCGATAAGTTCAAAACTTTTGTTCGATGTTTCCTCCTAGTAGGGGCCCCGTACTGTCACATTCGTCCTGATAACCTTTCACTTTTCTATACACATATCTCCTCTCTTCCTCTCCTCCCTCCTCTCCTCCTCTCCTACTCTCTCACTTTCCTCCTATCCATCCCATGCCTCCTTTTGTCTCCTCTCTTCGCCTTCAGCGACCTGTCTTCCAATGGAATCAACGGCTCCCTGCCCTCTTCAATCGGAAACTTCTCCAAGCTCTATAGCCTGTACGCATGCGTTGCTGTTGGAAACTTGAGATATCTAAAAAAACCCAAATGGCCGATTGCTAGAGGTTTTGTTTTTTTTGCCAAGAACTGCTGCTTCTGTTTGCCTTCCCAGTGTCTCAGATTGTGCTGTCTATGAAATAACATACCTGGAGTTTCATTCCCGTTGCAATTCTGCACAAATGCAGCGATCTGACCAACAACAGCATCAGCGGAAGCATCCCAGAGTCCATCGGCCTATTAACTTACTTGGATACCCTGTAAGCTTCCCCTTCTAGTGACCATGTAAGCCGGGACCATGCTTCTGTCCTCCTTCCTGGAGCACCTGCCGTGCATGCCTCCTCCCAATCAGCGGAAGTATCCCAGAGTCCATCGCCCTTTTGGCTGACTTGGATACCCTGTAAGCCGAGACCAAACCAAACGTCTGCCCACCTGCATTAAGGTGATTTTTGAGGTGGGATTTCTGAGGCGCCTAAAAAGCCTTTTGACTGACTTGGATACACTGTAAGCCGAGACCAAACTAAACGTCTGGCCACCTTCCTGGAGCACCTGCCATGCATACCTCCTCCCAATCCTTCCCAATCACCATCGCTGCTGTAGTCTTTACATGTCTCACAACAGAGTATCTTCCTCTTTGCTTGTGTCCATCGTCTTTCCCTCCTCTGTCCCTCCTCCTTTGTCCCTCCTCCTCTGTCCCTCCTCCTTTGTCCCTCTTCTGTCACACATTTCTCCCACTTCTGTCCCTCATTTTTTCTGCCTGTCCCTCTTCTGTCCCGTGTCCTTTCAGCTACCTTGCAGGAAACAATCTGACAGGGTCTCTTCCTGCATCCGTGTCACTGTTAACGAACCTCTATGCCATGTAACCGGGGCATGGGAATCGGGGCATGGGATGGGAGCCGTGGCAGTCCAGCATTTCTGTCTTTGAGCCGCCTCAGAAACCAACCTCTTCTTGATCTTCCTGCTGCTTCCTCCTTTCAGTGACCTGCGGCGCAACAACCTCTCAGGACCTCTGCCTTCTTCTGCTTTCAACTGGTCCATGTCAGCACTGTAAGGAGGGGTTATACTGGCCACCTAGGCTACATCAGTGCCACAAGTCTGCGGAAATAATAATAATAATAAAAAAAAAAAAAAAGTGCAGTCCTGGCGAGAGTCAAGTTGCTGTATGATTAACTACCTCACTGTTTGAACTCGCCGTGGATCACAATAGCTTCTTTTGGAGCCCAGCTTCTTCCAGTGATGATTTCATAGTCCGTGCCTTTTTCCAGTGATGTTTCACTCCCCTTCAACTCCTCGTGCAATCTCGTGCATGTTATAGTCACAATAGGCTCCAATGTGCCTAAAATGAAAGATATAGTGCACAGTCGGATTTCTGCACAGCGGCTTCAAACGTTCATAGTGTTCTGGTCACAGCTTCAAATGACCTGATTCAACTTGGATCTGGAGCGTCTTAATGTCGCCTACAATAGGCAATTTAGATCGCACGATTTCACCAAGTATTGACGACACAGTGTCGGTTTGAACGAACGGCACTATGGCAGCCACTATAGTCTTAGAACACACAATAGGAAGAGTTAGGAAGAGTTACGAGTTGGGAATGACTCCCAGCTCCTACAAACCCCAAGAGCCGAGGTACAGTGATGTGGAACAGTGCCACACTGTCCCCAACCAAGAAGGGTCTCGAAACTACCCTTCACAAGGGCCTACACCAACTGAAATGTTACACTACACAAAGTAATGTAACTATCTTCAATATCTTGAGGTGTACCCTTTTGGCGAGCTTCGCGATCACTTGAATGTTGACACCAGGGGCTCGGGTTCTTCATCACAAACTCATCCTTGAGTTCTTGATGGGTCTGCTGCACACACCTGCGACACGCCGAACGTTCGACAAGCGACAAAATAGAAACCGCGCACGACAAAATAGAAACCACGCGGGACACACAAAACGACCACGTTACACGCGACTAGCGATAATTCGCTATTGACTTGACACACACACTCGACATCATGACCCATCATTCACACAATATTATAAGCATGAAATATATATTTATTTCATGCACTCATTCCATTCCATGCACACACGTATGCACGCACACAGACAACAAGCCGAGTGCAAACCGTAGGGTTGCACCAACAAACTCCCCCTCGGATTGTTGGCCTTAGGATCTTGCTCTCTTAGTTCAGAGCCATCTCAGCCAGCTTGCAACACTTCCAATGCTGCTGCTCCACGAGCCTCTTGGTCATCATGTCAGCCGGCTGCCCCGTGGTCTTCACGTAGCGCAACTCAACTTCACCCGCGGTTACCATGCTCCTCGTCCAATGCCACTTCACCCTCATGTGCTTCGTGAGTCCATGCAACACAGGGTTCTTAGCAAGAGCAATGGCACCCTGGCTGTCACAGTACAGTGGGGTAGGTCCTTGCTGCTCCTCCCCCAATTCAGCCAACAAACGCCGCTGCCACACAATCTCCCGTACGGCACGGAAGAGTGCCATGTACTCGGACTCCACCGAGCTCAATGCTTGATCAACCTGCTTCTTGCTCTCCCAAGCAGTTGGGCCTCCACCAACACAGCAAATGAACCCTCCAACACTTGTCATGTCCTCTGGTTCCGATGCATATGAAGCATCCGAGTAGGCGGTGAGGAACAAACGCCCGGGTTCAACACCATCCGCGCCCTTTTGGCGCCTTTGTGCCGCCGCCGAGTATTGCAGCCCAACGGTCGGTGTTTGGCCAAGATACTTGGCCACCCTCATTCCAGCTGCTACCTGCTCCTCATTAGGGCATTGCACAACCCTAGCCAGCTGCCCGGTAGCAAACGCGACGTCCGGCCGGGTGTTTACCGCCGCATACATGAGGCTGCCCACCAACGAGTGAAAACGGCGCCTCTCCTCTTCTCCAACGCTCTCCTCCTCTGGCCCCTTCACACACTTGAACCCAGAGGGAAAGGGAGAAGCCACATGACCTTCACTCTGGCCGAAGTTGGCGGCCAACGCCTCAAGGTACTTCCGTTGGTGCACTCGCATGCTCCGCTTCTTCACGTCTCGTTCGATGTGGAGCCCAAGGTAGAAGTTGACGTCACCAAGTGACTTGCACTTGAACTTGTCTTGCAGTTTCAGCATCACCTCCTTCACAAGGTTTAGGGTTTGGGTGAGAAAATGAGGATGTCATCCACATAAACCACCATGAAACTCCTCTGCTCCCCCTCGCCAAGCATGAACAAGGAGTGATCGGCCGTTGAGGGAGTGAAGCCTATCCCCTCCAACACTTCGCGCAGCTTCATGTACCATTGCCTAGGGGCCTGCTTCAGCCCATAGAGGGCCTTCTTCAGCTTCCACACTCTGCCACTACCATCATCAAACCCCTCTGGCTGCGCCATGATAATCTCCTCCTCAAGGATGCCGTTAAGGAATGCTGTTACGATGTCCATTTGTTTTACTACCCATCCTTTGATGGCGGCTCCCGCGAATAGGGTTCGCAGCGTCGTCGGCTTCACCACAGGGGCAAACAGCTCCTTGAAGTCCACCTTCTCCTTCTGCTGGTACCCCTTGGCTACAAGCCTAGACTTGTAGCGCTCGATCTTCCCGTCGGCATCCGACTTGATTTTGAAGAGCCACTTGGACGTTATCGCCGTACGCCCCTCCGGTAGCTCCACCAATTCAAACGTGTCATTCTCCTCGATGCTCTTCAGCTCACTCTCCAAGGCCTTCTTCCACTCCTCAGCATCACTACTCTTTAAAGCCTCCTTGAGAGTTGCTGGTTCTCCCGGCATCTCCACCGGAGAGAAGAACGCGAAGGCACACTCCTCGTAGTCACTCTCCTCGTCGTCTCCGACCACCATTGCCGCTCCGGCCAGGGCTGTCTTGCCCTGCTTTCCCGGCGCATCATAGGTCAGCCTATTAGGGGGTTGAACTCTCCTCTTCCCTCTTCCTTCCTCCTCAGCTGCAGGGACTTGAAGGCCTTGGCGTTGCTGCGGTGTGGCTCGAATCCGTGGAGCACTCGTAGTACGGGAAGGGAGTGACGGTGCACGCTCGCTCACTTGCTGCACCTCCTCCTCTTCTTCCTCTGCATCATTGGCCTCCTCTCCCCCATTCACGAGGGAGGATTGCCTCGTGGTTGTGCTGCCGCTGCTCAGCTCCAAAGGCAGCTCCACATGCTCCAAACCGGAACTCTTCACCTCCCCAAACCGCACGCCTATCTTCGCCTCATTCTCCGCCTTCCAATCCTTGTACATGAAGTTCTCCATGAACTTGCAGTCCCTGCTCACCAAGAACTTCTTGGTGAATGGGTCCCAAAGAAGCCACCCCTTGCTGTTTTGAGCCATGCCCAAGTGCACGGTCCACACCGCCTTGGCACCAAGCTTGTTGTGCCGAAGATGCTTAGGCACGAGCGCCATGCACATGCACCCGAACACCCGAAGCATATCCACCTTTGGCTTCCTTCCTAGCCACTCCACATAGGGCACCAATTTATCTGCTCCCACATGAGTCAAGGCTCTGTTCTTGGCCACACACGCGCTCCGCACCGCATCAGACCAGAAATAGTCGGGTAGCCCGGCTTCAATGAGCAACCCGCGTGCCGCCTCCGTGATTGTGCGGTTCGCTCGCTCGGCGATGCCGTTCATTGCAGGGGAGTATGGCATGGTGAGGGAGTGCCGAATACCATTCTTCTTCAGCCACAACCCAAACTCCTTGCTCAGGAACTCTCCCCCTCGATCGGTGCGGATTGACTTGACTAGACGGTCTTGTTGCCGCTCCACCATCGGGAACCAATCCGTCTTCAACGTTTCAGCCACGTCGCTCTTCTTGGCCAGCACATACACCCAAGTCATGCGGGTGTAGACGTCGACAATGGCGAGAAAATACTCAGCTCCAGCAGCTCCAAGCTTCAGGTGGCCCACCACGTCCATCACCACCTCATCAAGTGGTGCCTTTGCCGTTGCCTCCGAACTAGGGAACGGAAACCGGGTGAACTTGGCTTGAATGCACGTCGGGCAGCCAAGCACCTCATCAGGCTCCCCCTTCACACGTATGCCAGCAACCATCTCATTCTTCACTAGCTGCTGCAAGATAGGCAGGGCCACATGCCCCATTCGCCGATGCAAGGTAAGCCAATCACACTCCCCCGTAGCCGAAGTCGGATTGGAGAATGCCGCACTCGCAATAGCGCCCCACATGCTCTCTCCGTACTCCTCTTCCGCTGCTGCCTCGGGGTTCTCCTCACCCTTGTGCTGCTCCTTGGCTGCTGCACCTCTCTCCTTAGGTTCACCGAGCTTGCTGGTCCCTCCAAGATTGCTCTTCTTGGACTCGTTCTCCTTAGCGCGACCGTTCGCACCATCTCCGCTACCAACCGCTTCACCCTTGGTGCTGACACTTGCTGCCACTTGCCTCTCCTTAGGCATGGGGACCACAGGAATCTGCCACATCTCATTGTAGACGTCCCTATCCTCATGAAGGTCCCATAGAATCCGCTCGCCAAGCCTTGCGGTGTAGGTCTTGGCTCCCTTCGAGTTCGTGTCCATGCCGGCCTTTGCCAATCGCCGCACGGAAATCAGGTTCGCAGCAAGGCTGGGCACCCAAAGCACGTTCTTGAGGCCCACCATCTTCCCATCAGCACCCTTGAACATGGCCTTGCCCATGCCTTTCACCTCTGCTCGCTGCCCCAAAGCCGATGTGACATGCTTCACCGGTGACGGCTCGAGTTCGGTGAGCAAGTCCGGGCGAGGTGTCATGCTATAAGTAGCGCCACTATCGATCACCCAATAGTCCAGGGGGTGTAGGGTCACCTTCCCCACAGCTGCTGACTCCTCAAAGCCTTCATCCTTCTCTGGACCAGCTGGTACTTGCGTCGACACGAAGTAGAATAGACCCGGGTACCGATCGTCGCTCGGGTCCTTGTCGTTGTCTCCGCTCTTCATGTTTGCAGCTCCGCCACCACGGCCGCCACGGCCTCCACGGCCTCCACGGCCTCTTCCTCTCCCTCCACCTGCTCCTCTACCCTCTTGGTCTTGAGCAGGGGTCCAACCATCAGGGAGCTTGTAGCAATC